GAAGGGAAGGGAAGGGAAGGGAAGGGAAGGGAAGGGAAGGGAAGGGAAGGGAAGGGAAGGGAAGGAGGGGTTATGGGATGGGATGAGATAGGGGAAGGGATGGGATGGGATGGGATGGGATGGGATGGGATGGGATGGGATGGGATGGGATGGGATGGGAGGGGATGGGATGGGATGGGATGGATGGGATGGGATGGTGATGGGATGGAAGGGTGAATGAGACGGGGATGGGATGGAATGGGAAAGGATGGAATGGGAAGGAGGGGTTATGAGATGGGATGAGATGGAATAAGAGATAGGGTGGGAAGGAGGGGTTATGGGATGGGGTGGGATGGGAAGGAGTGGTTATGGGATGAGATGGGATGGGATCGGATGAGACATGAGATAGGATTGGGGATAGGATGGGATGGGATGAGATGTGATAGGAGATGGGATGGGAAATGGGATGAGATATGAGATGGGATGGGGGATGAGACAGGGCACCCAGTAGAGCACCTCTCACTGCTCAGCCCACAGTGAACCTTGCAAAGGAGCCATTTTTTGGACACATCACTCTCCCTGCACCAGCAAACCCAGCGGCCAGAATCCATCACCAGCTTTCTACGTGCCCAGCACTGCTGGCTGCGTCCCAACACAGAGTGCAGCCTGGGGGTGCTATGGGGCCCAAGAGCCACTGGGAGCAACTGGGCCATAGGAGCAGCGCCCTGACCCCGCAACACAGCTCTGGGTGAGATCCTTCACCCCAAGGGGACGGATGGCACCTTCTGAGCTTTGTCAGGTTGGGTTGAGCCTTGCCCTTCCTGCCTTATCTTTGGAGATGATGGATCTGCAGGGCTGTGGGGGTGCCCTGCTGCCTGCCCCCCCTCCCTGCAGCCGCACAGGAGCAGTGGGGTGATGCTGGGGGGCATTTTGCTCCCATCCCCTCCCGATGCTGCGGGTGCAGCCGTGCTACGCGTGGCTCCTTACCATGCCTGCAGCAGAGCAGGAGGAGGAGGAGGAGAGCCTGGAGGAAGAGGCCGTGCTCCAGCTGCGCCGGGCTCTTACTGCAGCTGGCTTTCCCCATTCCAATCCATGTAGAGCAGAAGGTTGCTCACCCACTGGCTTGGCCTGACTTCATCCAGCTGCAAACCTGGGAGTGAGAAAGAGGGGGGTCTGAGCGGTGCGGCGCCTGCAAGGCACAGAGCTGCATGTGCAGAACTGCATGCACAGAGCTGCAGGCGCAGAGCTGCATGCGCAGAGCTGCATGCGCAGAGTTGCAGGTGCAGAGCTGCATGCATAGAGCTGCAGGTGCACGACTGCAGGTGCAGAGCTGCAGGTACAAAGCCATGGGTGCAGAGTTGCAGGCACAGAGCTGCATGCACAGAGCTGCAAGGCACAGAGCTGCATGTGCAGAACTGCATGCACAGAGCTGCAGGCGCAGAGCTGCATGCGCAGAGCTGCATGCACAGAGTTGCAGGTGCAGAGCTGCATGCACAGAGCTGCAGGTGCACGACTGCAGGTGCAGAGCTGCAGGTACAAAGCCATGGGTGCAGAGCTGCATGCACAGAGCTGCAGGTGCACGACTGCATGTGCAGAGCTGCATGCACAGAGCTGCAGGTGCACAACTGCAGGTGCAGAGCTGCAGTACGAAGCTGTGGGTGCAGAGCTGCAGGCACAGAGCTGCGGGCTGCTGCTCTCAGCCCCACTGCTGCCCTCCCCACAGCTCTGCAGCACTGGAGCTGCAGCAATGGGGACATCATGGCCCTGTCAGCAGAGGGGGTCCCCGGGGGTCCCTGGGGGTTCCTGGGGGTTCCTGGGGGAATATTGGCTTGCAGTGAACCGGTTGGCCCTTTTTGGCCACCACCAAACCGAAAGCAAAGCAAACCAAACCAGATCCTACTGCCATTCAGGGCTTTGTGGGTTCGCAGCTCTGTAGGGTCAGCCCTTGTGCTGCTCTTACCATGGCCAGTGGGGCAGGTGGGCTCCCAGCCCTGGGCTATGTGGGAGCACCGAGTGCCCTTCCTGAGGTCATATGGGATCAGAGCATCCTTCCCAGGGTTATATGGGATGTGAGCGTCCTTCCCAGGGTTATATGGGATGAGAGTGTCCTTCCCAGGGTTATATGGGATGTAAGTGTCCTTCCCAGGGTTATATCAGGTCCCCACATCCTTCCTGGGGTTATGTTGGATCCCCGCATCCTTCCTGGGGTTATATGGGATCAGAGCATACTCTCCAGGGTTATTTAGGATCCCTGTACACAGGGACTGCTGAGCATCCTTCCTGGGGTTATATGGAATTGGAGCGTCCTCCTTGGGGTTATATGGGATCCCCACATCCTTCCCAGGGTGATATGAAGTCTGAGCATCCTTCCCAGGGTTTTGCAGGATTGGAGCGTCCATCCTGGGGTTATATGGGACCCCCACATCCTTCCAGGTGCTATATGGCATCTTGGTGTCCTTCCTGGGGTTATATGGGACCCCCACATCCTTCCAGATGCTATATGGCATCTTGGTGTCCTTCCTGGGGTTATATGGGACCCCCACATCCTTCCAGGTGCTATATGGCATCTTGGTGTCCTTCCTGGGGTTATATGGGATCCCAATATCCTTCCCAGGTTTATACAGGATCTGGGGTCCCCACTTTCCAGGTGGCAGTGGGAGAGAGGGGCCGTGGGGAAATGGGACATCGGGGCAATGGCGTGTTGGGGTTTTGGGGTGGTGGGCCCATGTCCCAGTGCAGCACTCAGCCGATGGCTGCGGCGCGGGGCTGTGCTGCTCTGGTTGGGACGCGCTGACCCCAGCAGTGCTGGGAATGGGGCAGCCCACCTCCCCTGGGCTGCAAACAGGGGAGGTGGGCTCCCTCCATCAGGGTACCCCTGGGGGTGCTCCCACCCCCCATCCCCATCCCTGCCCCTTGTGTCAGCCCCACTCACCCGTCAGACCCCGTTGGTCCCCAGCACCCCCTCGTCACCGCCTCCACCCCAAATGACACCGCGGCGTGCCGTGGGACCGGTAGCCAAACCCAGGGGGGCTGTGGGACGTGGACCCCCCCTCTCCCTCCTGCTCCTGCTACCTTTGCTCCGTCCTCCCCCCGCCGTGGGACAGGGGACGGGTGTTGAAATAGATCTGCCTAAATTTAGCCGGGGGGGCACGCGGGGGTGCGGGGCGAGCGGCGTGAGGAAGAAGAGGGAGCTCCAGCTGGGGGGTCTTCCTCCCTTCCTCACTCTACACCAATATGGACGGAATCCCAATGGGAACGGGCCGTGTTCCCCCCCCTCCATCCCCAAGGAACGCTTCTGTGCTTGTTTTGGTCAGAGCTCCCCCCGTCGCGGTGCAGTTGGGAGTGGAGAGCGAAGGTCGCTGATGTCAGTGGGGTCGATGGCCGCCAGGTTGGGTGAGCTTCCCCGAAATCCCACCTGTGGGGCACACGGCCCTATGGGGCAGTGCTCCTCTCTTGGTGCCCATGGGGGTCCTGCAGCATCAGATGCGCCACGTGGGGTCCCCCGTGCTTGGGGCTCTCTCCAGGGCTGGGCGCACTGTTTGGGATTTCTGGTTCTTGGGGCTCCTCCAGCACTGGGTGCTCCATTTGGGGTCTCCCATTTTTGGGGTTTCTCCAACACTGGGTGCTCCATTTGGGATCTCTGATTCTTGGGGTTTCTCCAACACTGGGCGCTCCATTTGGGGTCTCTGGTTCTTGGGGCTTCTCCAACACTGGGTGCTCCATTTGGGATCTCTGATTCTTGGGGCTTCTCTAGCGCCAGGTGCTCCATTTGGGATCTCTAGTTCTTGGGGCTTCTCCTGCACTGGGTGCTCCAACACTGGGTGCTCCATTTGGGATCTCTGATTCTTGGGGCTTCTCCTGCACTGGGTGTTCCAACACTGGGTGCTCCATTTGGGGTCTCTGATTCTTGGGGCTTCTCCAGCAGTGGGTGCTCCATTTGGGGTCTCCCATTTTTGGGGTTTCTCCATCACTGGGTGCTCCATTTTGCATCTCCCATTTTTGGGGTTTCTCCAGCAGTGGGTGCTCCATTTGGGATCTCCCATTTTTTGGGGTTTCTCCTGCACTGGGTGCTCCATTTGGGGTCTCCCATTTTTGGGCCTTCTCCAACACTGGGTGCTCCATTTGGGATCTCCCATTTTTAGGGTTTCTCCAACACTGGGTGCTCCATTTGGGATCTCTAGTTCTTGGGGCTTCTCCAGCAGTGGGTGCTCCATTTGGGGTCTCCCATTTTTGGGGCTTCTCCAACACTGGGTGCTCCATTTGGGGTCTCCCATTTTTAGGGTTTCTCCAACACTGGGTGCTCCATTTGGGATCTCTAGTTCTTGGGGCTTCTCCAGCACTGGGTGCTCCATTTGGGATCTCTGGTTCTTGGGGCTTCTCCAGCACTGGATGGGCCATGTGGAGTCACTGAAGCTTGGGGTTCTCCAGGGTCAGGTTCTCCATTTGGGGTCTCCCATTTTTGGGGCTTCTCCAACACTGGGTGCTCCATTTGGGATCTGTTTCTTGGGGCTCCTCCTGCACTGGATGGGCCATTTGGTGTCCCCAGTTCTTGGGGTTCCCCAACACCAGATGCTCCATGTGGGGTCTCTGGTTCTTCTGGGCCTTCTCCAGCACTGGGTGCTCCATTTGGGTTTCCTGGTGCTTGGGGCATCTTCAGCTCTGGGAACTCCATTTGGGTTCTCTGGTTTTTGGGGCTCCAGCACCAGATGCTCCATGCTTGGGGTTCTCCAAGGCCAGGTGCTCCATTTGGGGTTTCTGGTTCTTGGGGCTTCTCCAGCTCCGGGAAATGCATTTGGGGTCCCCAGCTCTTAGTGTTCTCTGGGGCTGGGTGCTCCATATGGAGTCTCTGGTTCTTGGGGATCCCTCAGCACTGGATGATCTGTGCAGGGTCTCCAGTGTTGGGGTTCTCTGGAACTGTGCGCTCCATGTGGGGCCCTCGGGGTTGGGGTTGGGATCTGGTCCCTTCGTGCCCTGGTGCCATTGAGTTTGTGCTGACCAAACCCATCCCACAGCGCTCCTCCCATGGGATCGCTCACCTCGAGGCCGATTTGGGATTTCATCCAATAAGGAATTCACATCCTGATGGGATTCCCACCAGGAGGAGGGGTTCTGATGCCCAGATCTGACGCCCATCAATTTGGGGTGCACGGAGCCTCTCTTCCCATCACTTCCGTGCCCGTCACCCGATATTGAGGGACAACCAGAGAGCAAAGACAACCCCCCACATCACAGCGTGGCTCCGCGCTGCCTGCGGGGCGTCCTTCCACCCCCTGCATGGGGACAGCACCCATGGGTGACACGTGGGGCCGGGCGGTGGCAATTCACATGGGAACGGTGTCTACTGGGAATAGTAGTACCCCAAAGAGCCCGCAGTGCACCCCACAGTGCACCCCACGTCGTGCCCCACAGCCACTGGGGCCAGCTGTGCTCCCAGGGCTGAGCATCGTCCCGCTGCTCGTGGGGGGATCTGTTGCAACGGGGCGGAGCTGAGATGCTGCTGGGGGTGGTGGGGATCCGTCATCTGCTTTGGGGACGGCCTCAGCTCCATGGAGGGGACGCTTTCCCTCCTCTCCGATGGGAAAGGCATTTCTATCCATTGCATTCCTCTCCCCACCACCAAACCCCAAACCTCTGCGGAGGGCTGCGGTGTGACCCCCACCCGAAGCTCTGCCCCTCCCCTGGCAGCGGGATGGCTGTTCCTCCGGGTTCCAATCAGACCCCCCACCCGAAGCGCAGCCCCTACCCTGGCGACGAGTCGTGGGTCCCTCTGGGTTCCAGCGTGGAATGGAGCTGCCGTGGGATCGGTGCGGAGGGCGAACAGCTGAGCTGTGCTCAGCCCCATCCGTCACCGGGCGCGAGGAGGGCTGAAGGCGATGCTTTAAAAATAGCTGGCGGGATTTTCGATCCCGAAAACTGAATTCCAGCGGGGAGGGAAAGGAGAGGGTGGGAGAGGTGAAGGTTTCCGAATGGTGCCTGTTGGTGTGCTCCAAATCCCCAGTGAGAGCAACGCCAGCGAGGGACCCAACCCCAATGGAGGTGCCCAACCCCATTGGAGGTGTCCAACCCCAATAGAGGTGCCCACCC